AAACACACAAACAACCCCATAAAAATGTGGGCAAAGGACATAAACACTTTTCAAAAGAAGACATACATGTAGCCAAGAAGCCTATGAAAAAGCTCAACTTCACTGATCATTATAGAAATGAAAATCAAAATCTCACACCAGTCAGAATGGCTACCATGAAAAAGTAAAAAAACAACAGATGGTGGCAAGGATGTCGAGAAAAAGGAACACTTATACACTGTTGGTAGGACGATAAATTAGTTCAACCATTGTGGAAGACAGTGTGCTGATTCCTCAAAGACCTAAAAACAGACATGCCATTTGACCCAGCAATCCCATGGAACTGAGTATCACCCTGTGCCCCACAGAACGGGGCTAGGAATCAAGCCCTTAGCTTTTCAGTTAGAAAAACAGACCTTGAAAAATATATACATAATACGGTGGGGCCTACTGGCTTTAAATGTCCCCTCTGCCAGCTTCCCTACCCAGGGTAACTTCTGCCAGCCTCTGCCCCGAGCCCCCACCCCCAGCCCCCACTAACTGCCCCACAGAGAACAAACCAGAAAGGAGACTACCTGAACAAGCGCTGCGAGAGCCCAAGGGGGCAGCCTGAGTGGAGGGCCCCTACCTACATCAGGGCCTGGTTAGATGGTGGGTATATACCCAAAGGAATATAAGTCATTGTATTATAAAGATACATACACATGTATGTTCACTGTAGCACTATTCACAATAGCAAAAACATGGAATCAACGTACATGCTCATCAATAGTAGACTGAATTAAAAAAAATGTGGTGCATATGCACCATGGAATACTATGTAGCCATAAAAAGGAACAAGATCATGGCCTTTGCAGGAACATGGACGAAGCTGGAGGCCATTATCTTTAGCAAACTAATGTAGGAACAGAAAACCAAATACCTCATGTTCTCTCTTATAAGTGGGAGCTAAATGAGGAGAACACATGGACACACAGAGGGGAACAACAGACACTGGAGCCTTTTGGAGGTTGGGAGGAGGGAGAGAATCAGGAAAAATAAATAACTAGGTTTAGTATCTGGGTGACAAAATAATCTGTACAACAAACCTTCATAACACAAGTTTACTTATATAACAAACCTGCACATGTACCCCCGAACTTAAAAGTTACATTTTAAGAAAGCAAGAAAAAGAAAACAAATAGTATCATGCAGTACATAGTATTTTCTATCTGGCTTCTTTAACTTATTATTATTGAGGTTTATCCATGTAACATGTATCAGTATTTTGAACTTATTATTATTGAGGTTTATCCATGTAACATATATCAGTATTTCGAACTTATTATTATTGAGGTTTATCCATGTAACATGTATCAGTATTTCGTTCCTTTTCAGGAATAACATTCCATTGTATGGATACAATACATTTTGACTATTATAAGTAAAGCTGCTATGAACATTTATAAGTCTTTGTGTGGACATATGTTTTCTTTTGGATAGATACTTAATGGAATTTCTGGGCTGTACAGTAAATTTATGTGTAGCTTTTTATGAAACCACCAAACTGCTTTCCAAGGTGACGGTACCATTTGATACCCTACCTCTCATCAATGCAGGAAGGTTCCAGTTTTAACACATCCTCCACAACACCGGTATTGTCTTTATTTCAGCCCCTCTAGTGGGTTTAAGTAGGCCAACTTACCCTACTTTGCCTGGGAATTTCCAGTTAATAGCACTGAAAATTCCATGTCCCAGGAAACCCTTCAATCTCAAGTAATCAGTGGCAGTTGCTCACCCTAAGTGAGTCTGAAGTACTATCCCACAGTTATTTTAATCTGCATTTCCCTAATGACTAATAATGTTGATGAACTGATATTTTATAATTGGAAAAAAATCTAAAAGTTAATAAAAACTAAAACATATTGCTACAGTAAACAGATTATGGTCTGTTTTATTATAAAAACAAAAGTACTTTAAGACATCTATGTATAGTTTATTCCTTTCCTGAGCACACGTGCACACACACAAATGCAAAGATGAGCAGAGAAAAATGCAATTGTGTTGCAGAGATTAAGAATGTTTCACAGTCACTAAAAAAACCTAGGAAAAGTCAAAGAATTTTGCCCTTTGATGTGCCTTGTAAGGTAGTATAAAAGCCCACAGACGGGATAAGTATAAGGCATAAAAGGATATGCTTTAGAGGCATGTAAGTCCTTTCAAATGGGGTAGAAACCTGAGGGGAGAAATGTTTAATATTTAATAGCATAGCCCAAGTCATAAGTATCTTTTCACAACTTCCCATTTCCAGGTCTAAAATGTTTTTTCCCCCTTCATCCGACTACCCAAATGCTACTCAATCCACTACCTATCAAGAAAATGTCTCTAGTCCCTTCAGCTCTCAATAATCTCTCCCTTTTCTCATACTGCACATGGAAGTGGCATCTTACAATTTATCACTTTTTTATTTGTTTTTGTTTTCCCTCCACACCCCCATTTAGATCTAAGTTCTACTTAGCTTTTCATGTCTCATGTCTTTTGGAAGCCTCAAAGACAGAACCTGGTAACAACCAATGTTACAGGCAAATATTTGCATGATTAAAATAATTTCAAGATTTATTAATTCTTCTATTATATAACAAACTACCCTTTATTTATATGTTTGTAAAGCAAAATTGTCCCAATTTAACCTGCTACCATGGTTAACTTTTGAAGATAATTCCAAATAAAGGAAACAGGTTTGAGTGGCCTAAGAAGTAGTTTGTGCCATCATTGTGCATTAGCCCAGCACTTGTTTCCCAGGCCTTTGCTATCTGCCTGTTACCTCAGTGCTTCACAGAGCTTCTGTCTCTCACTCATGTGTGGGCTGACAAGGCAGGCTGTGAACTGAACAAGATATCTGAAAGAACTTTTGAAATGATTATCTTGTTGAAGTTTATTCAAATTGTAGGAGATCCTGAGAAGGAACATTTCTCAAGTATCCTGCCACCGTTGGCAACTGTCTGACTGCTGGGTGGATCACATTCCAGCAATAAAATATTTTTTCTTGTAAACACATATGGCATTCCATTTGCAGAGGAGGCCCAGTGATGCAGGAAGAAGGACAAGCTTTGGAGTTAGTCACACTTGGATCTGAATCTTAGCTCAACTACTTACTATAACTGTAGGATCTTTAAGTTACTATCTTTCTAGGATTATTTCCCCAAACACAAAATGAGGATCCTACTACCTCCGCCCCAGGTTATTGTGAGAAAGTAGGCAAAAATCCCTTACTATCTACTGGGTACAAGGTAGGCAGTCAAAATGTGAGTGCTTTTGTCTCCTTCTCCCAAAACTAATTCTTGGAGAATAAAATACATGCTGTTTTCATGAGGATGCAGGACATTTCTGAATTCAGAAAGGTTAAATTTTTAAAAGGTTTTATTCTTAGTATCAACTTAGAATATCTGACTTAAAAAAAAAAAAGCATTCATCAAATGTTACCCTGTGTTTTTATCCTTATTTTTTATTTTGAAAATTATAGATTCACAGACAGTTGTAAAGTGAGTACACAGAGGTCTTGTTTCCCTATCTTGTTTGTGACATTGGTAACCCACTTGTTACATATTATGAAGCTACAGTACAACAATATAACTAGATATTGACATTGATACAATGTGTTTGTATAATTTTATGCTCTTTTTATCACATGTACAGATTTTTTTCCTTTTTTTTCCCTTTAATTTTTAAGTTCCAGGGTACATGTGCAGAATGTGCAGGTTTGTTAAACAGGTAAACATGTGCCATGGTGGTTTGCTGCACAGATCAACCCATCACCTACGTATTAAAACCAGCATGCATTGGCTATTCTTCCTAATGCTCTCCCTGAACCTGTTCCCACAACAGGCCCCAGTGTGTGTTGTTCTCCACATGTATCCATATGTCCTCATCATTCTGTTTCCACTTATAAGTGAGAACATGAGGTGTTTGGTTGTTTTCTGTTCCTGCATTAGTTTGTTGAGAATAATGGCTACAAGCTCCATCCATGCCTCTGCAAAGAACATGATCTTATTCCTTTTTATGGCTTCCATGTATTCCTTGGTGTATATGTACCACATTTTCTTTATTTAGTCTATCATCAATTAGCATTTGGGTTGATTCCATGTCTTTGCTATTGTGAATAGTGCTGGAGTGAACATACACGTGCATATATATTTATAATAGAATGATTTATATTCTTTTGGGTATATAACCAGTCATGGGATTGCTGGGTCAAATGGTATTTCTGCTTCTAGATCTTTGAGGAATCACCACACTGTCTTCCACAATGATTGAACCAATTTACATTCCCATCAACAGTGTAAAAAACCTTTCTTTTTCTCTACATCCTCGCCAGCATCTGTTGTTTCTTGATTTTTTAATAATTTCCATTCTTACTGATGTTGTCCTATTTTTTAATCAAATTACTGGGCTTCATGTTATTTTGGTCAAAGCCAAAAAAACTGATATGATGATTCAAATTTCTAATACATACTGACTTCCTGAAATTATTAATATCACACATAAGAGTTTACATGGTCACTAAATTCATATCATACAGAAAAATACTACAAACCAGACTTTATAAGAAAAAACTCATGTGCAAAAAGACTAGAGGGCTCTACGCATGTGTACAATAAATCTTTTGGCCATGTTCACAGGGCCACTGACCTTCTTAACTAATTACCTTATACTTGCTGTAGATCTAAAGAGTATAAAATAATAAGCATTCTGAAAATATGACATTTGAGTTTCATTTTATCCTTAAAATTGCTCTCCTCAGTTTGCAAGAGCTTTAACTTGACCTAAGATCTATTACATGTAATGCCGTTTCCATCTCTAAAATGTCATCAATGGAGTGAAGAGATGTACCTGGGTGCACATGTATGCATGTGTACAAATAATCTATTAAGCTAATTTCAAAGATAGGTTTTTATAAAATATGTTAGCAAGGACCAATAACAAATATATTTGTTTAATAACCTCTATATGTTACTAAGTGCAGAAATTTCCTTTTCACTTACTTCCACTGCTGGTACAACCTGGGATATTTTCTGCAGAATATCCCATGAAGCCTCCATTCCCATTAGGATTAGAAGGTACTGATGCTAGAAGACCTAAAGGACAAAAAAAATTTTCTTTTAAATTATGATCAACGTCAAATTCAGAGACAGCTATATAAACAGCTGCCAAAGAAACAAAGGCAGTTATTAACATACCTAGTCCTCTATATCGTGAAAGCTGCTGATAGATCTGTTTCATCCTTTCAATATTCAAACGGCTTGCCTCAGCATGGTTCACCATTGGTTTAGGATAATTAACTCCTATCAAACATTTGGCTACCTTTTGGATACCTTCTGGTGCATTCCAGGGATCATAGATATATTTTGCAGGGAAGCCTCTTAGGACAGGCAAATAACGCCTTTTGGGAGAAAGAAGAAAGATTAATAAAATGCACTCTAAGCAAACTATAATGACTACTAGCTAAGAGAGGCCAAAATAAAATCAATACCATTTAAATGGTCTGTTTGCCCGTCTCATCTCTGCTGCCCATCATGAGTGGGGAATACTTTAAGTGTTGATTAAACATGAAAAGCTCTTCTTGAATTAGCTATTCCAAACTGAGTAGTAATTACCCTTCATTTACCTGATGTAGTCTCCATTAGGATCTGTTCTCCTACCAAAACCAACAGGGCAATAGCAGTGAAAAAACTGTTGAAAAAAGGAACTGCAAGACAGCCACATCCAACTTCCAGCATTTATGCTCCAATCTGCATCAAGCAATAATTCTTCAAATACCTTCAGAAGTAACAGTAACCAATTAGTTTCCACACACATAATTTGCAAAGCGAGCATTTTCAAAGTCACAGTAGATCCAAAGTCAAAGCGAAGAAAATCCAGCACAGAATTGTAAAATTAAACATTCCAAAGTTAGCTTCTATGTTCTATTCTATAATGAGCTCTTCCAGGGAAAGAAACGTATTGGTAATATAGTATGCTTCTGAATAGAATTTACTTTTCCAATCTCTGCAGTGTTATTGGGAGAATGAAAGGTTAAAAAAATTATTCAAATCACTAATTTAAAAGGATTTGGATTTAAAAGGATAGGATTACTGGTAGATACAGGAAAAGCAGTAAACCATTTTCAAGAAAGCAAAAATGCTATTACATAAATCACCAACAAAAACTTAACTTAGTACACTAGCCTAAATAAAGGAAGCATACTCAAATGTGAATTCACTTACAAATATATACTAGCATTACACAGTTTAATTTTGAATTCCTTGATCAGAAAGAAAACAGAGTTAAATGATTGATAGATATATTCATTAAATATGTTATATATCTTCTCTATATACAACTGTGTACTAGGAAACATAAGAGATTAAAAAAAAAAAACACACATAGGATCAGAAATGGTTCTTGGATGGAGAAAATGTATGATAGAGCCAGAGAGGTGAAAAATGTATGTAATAGCTGGGTGCAGTGGCTCACACCTGTAATCCCAGCACTTCAGGAGGCTGAGGCAGGAGAATCATTTGAGGTCAGGAGTTCAAGACCAGCCTGTCCAATGGGGTAAAACCCTGTCTCTTACTAAAAATACAAAATTAGCTGGGCACAGTGCAGGCACCTGTAATCCCAGCTACTCGAGAGGTAGAGGCAGAAGAATTGCTTAAACCTGGGATGCGTAGGTTGCAGTAAGCCAAGATCATGCCACTGCACACCAGCCTGGGCAACAGAGCAAGACTCCATCTCAAAAAAAAAAAAAAAAAAAAGGACATAAGTCTTATTACTTATAACCACAAGATGATGTCACAAAATGTAGTACGCTTCTCTTTATGGAAGTATTAGTAAAAAGCTGTGAAGTTGAAGTGAGGTGAAATGATTTATATTTTAAAATTTGTAACATGAACTCACTATTTCTAGGAACTCTTGAGTGGATTCTTTTGTGACAGAAATATCACCTATATCTATCAAGAAATCCAGTATTAAATTTTACAGTTCTCTTAGTGGCTAGGCTGGGTTAACCACTGAAATGACTTTAGTTAATCAATTTAACCAGTTTTCACCTTTTTGCTGTCTGATTATACCATTTTTCTCTCTGAAAGTGTGCCTGTATTTGGGGAATTAAATGTTTTATCTACCAAAAAACTAGACTATAAATGAATCTGTATAACAGACAACTTCTAGGATTTGTTTTATTAAGGTAAGAATTCCTTCAAAATAAGACATGCTATAACCTTAGAACACTTACCTTCATTCCTTCTTCCCAACTAATCCACAGGTCCCCTCGTGTCAGGAAGCAAGCAACTGCATGCCTGGCTAAATGATGAATCCAGCCCTCCTGACGAAGCTGTGTCATGATGGCATCAATCCATGGAAAGCCTGTCCGGCCTTCTGCCCATTTGGCTAGAGCCTCAGGATTTTTATCCCAAGGAATCTGAACACAGATAGGGTTTCCTTCCATTTTATCAAAGCGTGGATTATTTGTTGCTGCTGTATAGAAAAACTCACGCCATAGCAGTTGCCCATAAAGGGAAAGGGGAGGGGAACTGTTCTTCTTTACCTATAGTTAAAAAGCAAAGAAGTATTATCAGAATGTTTTTTTAAAGTATTAAACAATAAACTCTAATTTTAGAGAATACCTTTTTGTAAAGATCTGTTAGTTTGAAGTAAAACAGTCGACATGACAAACAACCAAATCGGAGATAAGGACTAAGTCCAGTAGGACTTGCAAGCAGAGAGTTCGCATTCATTCGAGGTCTTTCAAAGTTTGCCACCCAAGCCTGAAAACACAGAGAAAATTACATTAACTAATCGTATTTTTCATTTTAAAAGAATGCTTAGAATGGAGGCTTTTTAAAAAAAGTTACATAGTTCTTGGGGAATCAGATCTTATCCTAGCCACAAATTACATGTTTTAATAAAAAAATAAGAGAGGATAAAAAAGTGAGCATTCTTTTGTTTCAGTCATCCTTGTGTGACACATACTCATATGAAATAAATTACCTTCAAATTTCTAACAGAAAGCTGAGAGGGCCTTCAATATTTTTTTTTTTTTTTGAAACAGGATCTTGCTCTGTCACCCAGGCTGGAGTGCAGTGGAGCAATCTTGGCTCACTGCAACCTCTACCTCCCAGGTGGAGGATTCTCCTACCTCAATCTCCTGAGTAGCTGGGACTACAGGCAGACACAACCATGCCCGGCTAATTTTTGTATTTTTAGTAGGAATGGGATTTCATCATGTTGGCCAGGATGGTCTCAAACTCCTGACCTCAAGTGATCAACCCACCTTGGCCTCCCAAAGTGCTGGGATTACAGGCATGAGCCACCATGCCTGGAAAATTTATTTATTTATTTTGAGATGGAGTCTTACTCTATCACCCAGGCTGGAGTACTGTGGTGTGATCTTGGCTTACTGCAACCCTGCCTCCTGGGTTCAAACAATTCTCATGCCTCAGCCTCCCAAGTAGCTGGAATTACAGGCACACACCACCACACCTGGCTAATTTTTGTATTTTTAATAAAGATGGGAGTTTTGCCATGTTCGCCAAGCTGGTCTCTAAATTTTGACCTCAAGTGATTCACCTGCCTCAGCCTCCCAAAGTGCTGAGATCACAGGTGTGAGCCTCCATGCCTGGCCTTCAACCTGCCTCTTTAACACAAAGGTAAAGGTGAAATAGAATTCTATACTAGTTTCAAAGTTATAGCCATTAGATACCAGCTTAGGCAGAAAGAACAGAAGAGGTCGTGTGGTAGTAGCTAAGGGGGAAATAATTAGAAGAGAAGGAGAAAGAACATTTAAGTGAGGAGATGGTAGTTAATTTTCAAACAATTAGGTTTATTCTATTTTAACCATTTCCCTTAATGCTCCCCTTTCAACAATCTATTTTTTATTTTTTAAAGACAGGAAAATTATTTTTAAATGGTAGTTTGGAAATATGAGCATAGCTATATAATCTATATTATCATACTTTTCTTTCCAAATGCCTTTCCAAACGAGTAAGTGCTTCAGTTTCTCCGCCTGGCCACACTGCAGAGGATAAGCCATCTGTATCAAAACCTAAAAGAAAGAAAAGAAAAAATATCATTCTTCTGAAACTAAAATAATTTTTATTTAACCCCAATAACTGGGAGAATAAATTACTTTGCAGAAAAGCTCTAAGAGAGTACCATAAAAATGAACAGAGGGCCTAAAAAAGCCCTCACCTATAGAGGATATGACATGGTTTGACATGGTTTCAATTTTTTAGGATGTACATCTTAAGGTGATAACAGATTACATATCTATAGAACACATAAATGATGAACAAACATATCACTCCTTAAAGAGTTATTTCTTTCTTCTTCCCCCACCCTTTCTTTCTCTCCTAATGCAAAATACTTTACATGATGAAATTGAAAGGGAAATTTTCTGAGTAATTTATGATTTATTAACTTTTAAGACTCATACTGATTATAGTTTATACTTACCTAGCTCCTCCAGTGAAGGGACTCCATATTTCTCATCATGGTCATCAGACAGAGGAGTTGTGCACTTTTCTATCACTTCTGAAGTAATTGTCTCTACTGGTATCTCTAGTGGTTCCATTTTGCTGATGAGAGTCTGGAATCTTTTATAAGTTAGAGGCGGTTGTCCACCATTGAGTTCTATGATCCTATAACAACAGTTAGTAAAATGTAGGTTAGTATAAAAAAGGACAATAAGTTTTGGTTAATAAGCTCCCAAAAGGCTTAAAAAGCAGAAAATAAAATTAATCACTGAAATCTTCAAGGAGAATGTTAGCTTGTTATGATGACCAAGAAATGTGTTAAAAATGATTAATGAGTTTAAAAATCATTCCCTTTAGCTTCTAGACATCCTCTAGTATCAAATATATACACGCTATGCAAGTATCAAGATCTTTAAGACAGAATATTAAGGACTTATGAGAGAAAAAATAAGTAAGTGGGTAAATTAGTCTAAAGGCAATAACAAAAAGTTAATACACACAGACATATGAAAAACATGTTATGTCCCAGCTCAAAGAATCTCTCAATCACCAATAAAAACTAAACCAGGTTGAAAATTATATGAAAGAGTAATCAGCAGGTCTCATTTAGAAAAAATAAATTTAATTGTGTATATTTGAGGTTTACAACATGTTATGGTATACAAGTAGACAGTAAAATGGTTACTATAGTGAAGCAGATTAACGTATTTATAAATCTCATATAGTTACTTTTTTGTATGTGTGTGACAAAATCAGCTAAAATCTACTTGATAAAAATTCTAAATAAAATACAATTTTAAAAACTAAAATCCTCACTCTGCACACTAGACCTCTAGACTTGTTCATCTTATATAACTTCTACTTTGTATCCTTGGATCTACATTCCTGATATGGTTTGGCTGTGACCCCACCAAAATCTCATCTTGAATTGTAACTCCCACAATTCCCACATGTTGTGGGAGGGACCTTGTGGGAGGTAACTGAATCATGGGGGCAGGTCTTTCTCATGCTGTTCTCATTACAGAGAGTAAGTCTCACAAGATCTGATGATTTTAAAAGGGGGAGTTTCCCTGCACAAGCTCCCTCCTTGCCTGCTGCCATCCATGTAAGAAGTGACTGGCTCCTCCTTGCCTTCCACCATGATTGTGAGGCCTTCTCAGCCATGTAGAACTGTAAGTCCATTAAACCTCTTTCTTTCGTAAATTGCCCAGTCTTAGGTATGTTTTTATCAGCAGCGTAAAAACAGACTAATACAATTCCCCTATTTCCTTCAGCATATTTTATTAATTTGGATTCTATATTACTGTGGTAACAATTACTATTTTCCATTGTACTCATGGCTTCATATGTATATATGTCACATACTTAGAACACATAAGCCCTCAAATTTCAAGTTATTTAAATTTACCTTTTCATTTACTTCTGATCACTAATTACCTCAATCAAGTCTTAATTAAAAAAAAAAAAACAACTAGCTTTGCCAATGGTAGTTTAGATTAAACACTATTTTGGAATAACTACTCTTTTTCACTATGGCCATTTGCTTAGCATTTGGCCTTAATAAAAAAATAACAGATGAAATCCAATTCCATCATTTTTTAAAAATATTTTTTATTTTTTTTTATTGCATTTTAGGTTTTGGGGTCCATCATTTTATAGATGTAGAAACAGGCCTACCAGGAGGGTTAAGTAATCTAATCAAGGTCATACAACTGATAAATGGCAAATCAAGGTTTTCTTAGTGTATTTTATTGTATTTTTCATTATACCATACGTAGTTATGTATCAACTACAGACATATACAGAAAGTAATACAGAAAGCAATCACCATAAAAGCTATCCTGTTTGCTTTAAGTAAATTTTGCTTTGTATATTTTCAGTTTATTCATAGGGTTGCAATGAATTTTGCTACAAAATCATTACATGAATTTGTAATTTTGCTACAAAATCATTACACGAATTTTGCTACAAATTCATTGCAACCCTATGAATAAACTTATAATGTAATGTACTACAATACTACTACTGAGGACATTGGTAATTACACAATAGCAGCAAAATGAAAATCTTAGGACAAAACACTTTCTATGTTACATTTTAGTATGATTACATATAGTAAATATTTGCATTTAATCCAATAAACACTAATTTTTTGCATAACACTGAATTTCCCACTTAGGAGCAACTTCTTTTATCCTGTTTTGCCACCTCCTTCCTATGAGCTCCCCCCTAAAGTTAAGCAAATTGGTAAGCTAGAAGGCAAGGCTATTACTAAAAGATATACGAATTCTAGCTTAGTATCAAGTAAGACCTTTGTCTGAATCAAATCATGATTTTTTGATACACTTAAAATGTGAAATCAAATCAACTAGTTTGTCATGTTACAGAATTTGTTTTACTAGATAAAATACATAAATTACTAAAAAAGTAAAATAATTTAAAAGGTACATAAATTATAAGATTTCAGTAGTTAAAAGGACAATGGCATGCTAAAAGTTTTAATAAGTTAACAAGTTTTATAGACCTCTAAGACTCAAGCATATAATACTCCCTAAATTTAAGTTTGACCACAGAATTTCTGTGGGACAAAGCATCAGCCAGGACTGGTGTTTCAAGAAATACACTTTGAGAAACGTCTTATTACGCAATTGTTCAGAGGACTACAGCTATGCACATTATATTACATTCAATTTGCATCTGGATTTAAAATCCAGACAGATAGATAGATAGATATGAAAATAAGATAACATTAAACAAGCATACAAAATGTCAAGGCAATTTATAACTATGAATAATATAACTATAATTTGATAATGCTAAGAGCCCAGAAAGGCAAGACCACAGGAGGCTGAGTTAAGAGTAGTCGAGGAAAATTTTTTAATAGTCTTAATCTGTAACAGTTTGGAAATGGAAATGCTGATACCTGTCGTTGGGTCAGTAGCAGCGAAATAAAATAAAATGCTAAGGATTTGACACATATTCACTTTATTCTCCCATAATTCTATGATTTCTACTTCCTAAACCTCAGTTAAAAACTTCTATATGTAGTTAATATACCACCAAACTATATACTTAAAAATGGTTAAGATGATAATAAATATTATGTTATATGCATTTTCCCATAGTAAAAAAAAAAAAAAAAAAAGAAAAGAAAAAAAAAAGACTCACTTGTCTAGGTCATATAATGTATGTGAAATTCTTACAATGACTTCTACTCCAGCTTCAGTTGCCAGTTTCTTAATAGCGGCATCTCGTTCCTTGCCAAAGGGCTCAGAATCATACTCAATTGAAAGTTTAGTAATGTTCCATTCCTAAATTAAGAGAAAGAGCAACAACATAAACCAATTTTAATAGTTATTTTTTCTATAATAACAAAAAGTGAAAAAACTGAAAATCTATCAAAGGATTATAATAAATCAAACTTTGAGTATGCAGGAAAAAAGCAAACAATTTATCAATTAAAAAATACATACGTAACTCATGTATAACCCATTAGATTCCAGGCATTATGTTAGGCAATAGACAATCTAGCAAAGCAATATGCTTAAAACCAGCTCTTACACTAAATGTGTTTATAGAGCGCTTTTTCAAATTACTCATATTTACATTATTTCATTTGAGCCTCAAAAAAACACTCAGAGTTTGGCACTTTGGTTAGGCTTCCATTTTGGAGATAAGGCTATTTTTAAAATTTAGGGAGTTGCCAGAGTTCACAGGGAGCCAGACCAGCTAAATTTATGTTTGTTGAATTTAAGAATTGGTCTTTAACAAACCTTTGATAGTTGATATGGTATAAACTACATAGCTGAGGTTGTGCGCGCGTGTGTGTGTGTGTGTGTGTGTAAATTTTTTTTTTTTCTGATTACTAAAAAATGTTAACTAAAAAATTTGGAGATGGTAATAATAATAGCCGTTACTTATTATTGGGAGCTATGTTAGTAAGTTCCATACATCACCTTATACTGATTTTAAATGAGGAAACCGATTCAAAGGAATTGATTTTTCTTAAGGAGAAGATTTATTTTACTTTAAGTCTACTCTGATATATCTCACAAAGAAAAAATTCTACCATTATTTAACTGCCTATATGGTAACATACTGTAATTCATCAAACACCTCCAGATTAGTCAAGGACAGTTTGAATGGTGAATTTTAAAACTTGCTATTATAAACTGTACAGTATGCATCTTTACCTTTATGCATACATCTTACAAATTTTATGGTATTTATCCAATTTTTTCCTAGAAAAACCCTTGAAAAACAACTCATAGATCAAAGATAAACACATTCAAAATTCTGATAGGCTGTCAAATTATGTATCAGAAAGACTGTACAAATTTACATTCCCATCAGTAGTGTACCTAAGTGCTTGATCTCCACACAGTTGCCAATAATATACATTAGTAATTGTTTTTTGTTGTTTGTTTTTTAGACAAAGTCTCACTTTGTCACCCAGGCTGAAATACAGTGGCATGATCTGGGCTCCTGAAACCTCCATCTCCCAGGTTCAAGTGATTCTTCTGCCTCAGCCTCCAGAGTAGCTGGGATTACAGGCACATGCCACCACACCCAGTTAATTTTTGTATTTTCAGTAGAGACAGGGTTTCACCATGTTGGCCAGGCTGGTATCAAATTCCTGACCTCAAGCAATCCACCCACCTCAGCTTCTCCAAGTGCTGAGATTACAGGCGTGAGCAACCATGTCCAGCTAGTAATCGTTTTTAAATGTCTGCTACACTACTAGGAAAAAAACTGTATCTCATTAAAAAAATTTTCCCTTCTTGAAAGTTCTAAATAGTACACATCAAGACATTAAAGGATGTTGACTTTGTGAGGAGTAGAATTTGAGAGTGTAAATAAGTTAACTTTTAATTTTACATTTTGATGCATTGCACAGATTTGTTAGTCCAAACTTGCTATTTTTGTTTGTTTGTTTGTTTTTTGAGACAGAGCCTCCCTCTGTTGCCCAGGCTGGAGTCCAGTGGCGCAATCTTGGCTCACTGCAACCTCTGCCTCCCGGGTTCAAGCAATTCTCCCACCTCAGCCTCCTGAGTAGCTGGGACTACAGGTGCCCGTCACCACTCCAGGCTTTTTTTTTTTTTTTTTTTTTTTTGTATTTTTAGTAGAGACAAGGTTTCTCCATGTTGGCCAGCCTGGTCTTGAACTCTTGACCTCAGGTGATGCATCTGCCTGAGCCTCCCAAATTGCTGGGATTACAGGTGTGAGCCACTGCGCCTGGCCCAAACTTGCTATTTTTTAAATTTAAAAATAAAATTGAGAATAGAAAAGCATTCTATTTCTTTGTTTTTGAGTGAGGTAGTATAGAATAGTTTAAAAGCACAGGATCTAAAGTTAGACTTCCTAAGTTCAAAGACTGGCTCAACTACTTAGGCAAACTGCTAAACTCTTAATCCCTGTTTCCTAGTCTATAAAATGGGTAGAATAAGTAATGTGTATAGAGAGTGCCTAGCACATAATAAACCCTATGTAACTATTTGGTACAGTAAAGTGAGAAAATTAACCATATTATTGGGTTGCTAAAGAATTAAATAACATAGTGCATGTAAAGTGTTTAGGATAGAGCACAGTACATAGCAAGCCCTCAATGAATGACAGCGATTATTTTAACAGCCATTTGTATGTTGCAGCTTGTGTGATTTTTTAAAACTAGTTTGCAATTATCCTTCCTTCCCTCCCTCCCTCCCTTCCTTCCTTAAAACTAGTTTGCAATCCTCTCTCTTTCCCTCCCTCCCTCTCTTCCTTAAAACTAGTTTGCAATTCTCCCTCCCTCCCTCCCTGTCTGTGTGTGTTACGGTCCCACTCTGTTGCCCAGGCTGGAGTGCAATGGTGCGATCATAGCTCACTGCAACCTCTGACTCCTGGACTTGAGCAATTCTCCCACCTTCCTCCCAAGTAGCTAGGATACACGCATTACAGGCATGCACCACCATACTCAGCTAACTTTTTTTTTTTTCTTGTAAAGACAGAATCTCACTATATTGTCCAAGCTGGTCTCGAAATCCTGGCCTCAAGAGATACTCCTATCTCATCTCCCAAAGCGCTAGGATTACAGATGACAGCCAATGTGCCTAGTGCAATTTAATACTGTTTGTTGAAAAATATTATTTTTAATTTTAGGTAATAAATATTGAGGTGAGTCAATAAATAACACTTCCTGCCCCTTTCCCTTCTTGAGTTTAGTCATGTAAGCCAGGGAGCTAAAGATAAAAATGTAAGCCACATTATTAGCAAAGCTGAATTGTAGAAAACATACCAGGTTTCAGGGCAGGTAAACCTGCTAACACTGTTTCACTGGATAATCAAACAGATTTACTTACTCAATCATAAGCAGCACCTCCCTGCAGTGTGAGCTTCCCCTATAAAACTTATTACATAGAAGAGGAGAATATAATGTGTGCTCTCTACAACTAAAAGAAAAGGAACCATCTCAGCTAAACTTGCCTAGCTCCTTCTAAACTCACCAATGAGATCATTCACTTTACCTTCCCTGGGGATAAATTAGTAAACATCTTTCCACAAGAAGGAAAAACTAGGGAAGAGAAGGTTTCTTAAACATTAAATGTATTCATTAATACACTAAATATTTATTATAATTCTATGACAGATACTATGCCAGATGCCCCTCTCAAGGAGCTTACTGAGAAAGACTGGCAATACAGAGGTAAATTAATGAATACAGAACAATTATTAGGGAAAAAAAAACGATGCTATGATCGAGAATACGGAAATGGGATATGAGGTGATAAGCTAATAATCTACACTGTCTTCCATGACTGTACTACAAGACTTCCAGTAAGTGGTAAAAATATCCTTGTGTTTTCCTATCTTGGGTAGAAAGCATTCAGTGTTTCACCTTTATGGTTTTGTGTGTGTGTGCATGTGTGTGTGTTTTGTAGACTTCCTTTATCAAATTGCTGTTTAGCAGTTGATATGGCTTGGCTGTGTCCCCACCCAAATTTTATCATGAATTGCAGCTCCCATAATCTCCATGTAACGGGAAGGACCCAGTGGAAGGTTAGTGAATCATGGGAGGGGGTTTTTCCTGTGCTGTTCTCGTGATAGTGAATAAGTCTCACAAGATCTGATGGTTTTATAAAAGGCAGTTCCCCTACACAGGCTCTCCTGCCTGCTGCCACGTAAGACGTGCCTTTGCTCCTCCATCTTCCATTAGGATTGTGAGGCCTCCCCAGTCATGTGAAACTGTGAGTCAATTAAATCTCTTTCCTTTATAAATTACCCAGTCTCAGGTATGTCTTTAGTAATGTGAGAACAAACTAATACAGCACTTTTTCTTTTTTTTTGTACTTTAGTTTCTGGGGTACATGTGCAGATCATGCAGGAATGTTGTATAGGTACATACATGGCAAGGTGGTTTGCTGCCTTTATCTCCTCATCACCTATATCGCGCATTTCTCCTCTCGTTATACCTCCCCACCCCCTGCTGTCCCTTCCCTATCCCCCACCAACAGACCACAGTATGTGATGCTCCCCTCCCTGTGTCCACAGGTTCTACTTGTTCAACACACACCTATGAGTGATAACATGGGGTGTTTGGTTTTCTTTTCTTGTGTCAGTTTGCTGAGAATGATGGTTTCCAGATTCACGTCCCTATGAAGGACACGAACTCATCACTTTTTATGGCTGCATAGTATTCCACAGTGTATATGTGCCACATTTTCTTTATCCAGTCTACTGCTGACGGACATCTGGGTTGGTTCCAGGACTTTGCTATTGTAAACAGTGCCGCAACCTGAACATACCTGTGCATGTGTCTTCATAATAGAACAATTTACAATTCTTTGGGTATATATCCAGTAATGAGATTGCTGGGTCAAATGGTATTTCAATTTCTAGGTCCTTGAGGAAGCACCATACTGTCTTCCACAATGGTTGCACTAATTTGCACTCCCACCAACAGTGTAAAAGTGTTCCTATTTCTCCACATCCTCTCCAACATCTGTTGTCTCCAGATTTTTTAATGATCGCCATTCTAACTGGTGTGAGATGATATCTCAATGTGGCATTTCTCTAATGACCAGTGATGATTAGCATTTTTTCACATTTGTTTGCAGCATAGATGTCTTCTTTTGTAAAGTGTCTGTTCATATCCTTCTCCTACTTTTGAATGGGTTTGTTTTATTCTTGTAAATCTGTTTTAGTTCCTTGTAGATTCTGGATATTAGCCCTTTGTCATATGGGTAGATTGCAAAAATTTTTTCCTATTTTGTTGGTTGCTGGTTCACTCTGATGATTGTTTCCTTTGCTGTACAGAAGCTGTGTAGTTTAATTA